CTGGCTCGAAGATATGTAGGTTTAATAAAAGAAATCCAGCCTGAAGGTCCATTTTATCTTGGTAAGAACTCATTTTATTTTTTAACTCTGTAAATGAAGCAATCTGATTGGCTGAGAAGCGTTTCACAGCGGGCCGGAATTTTGCATCCGGCCCGCTGCAAAATGCATCCGGCCCGCTGTGAAAAATGCAAGCAAAACGACAAAACCAAAGCAACGTACGGCTAAAATGTGTGAAAACTTTTCTGGAAAAGGCTAAATGAATGTTAAAAATAAAAAACATACCCGAAAAACTTCTTTTTTTATTTTTTACGCTTTTTTTCGCTTGTCAATACGTTGTTTTTTTAATCGATTCGCCGTGATTTAGTTGCTATGGTAACAATATTTGCCATTTCATTGGGTGTTTCCCGACTAGGATATCCTTATAAGAAGTTGTTGACGTATTAAAATTCTAAAATAGCTTGCAGAATTTAAAATTTTTATAGTTTATTCATTAAATTTGTTGTATTTTTGTGTTTTATAAAGTCAAAAATATCAAGGTTCTCAAAAACATCCCTCGGCCTACGGCCTCGGGCCGTTTTCGAGACCTCCGGCACATTTTTTTGCATCCGGACCTCGCAGCCGGTAAATAACATATAAATATATATATATATATATATATATATATATATATATATATATATATATATATATATATATATATATATATATATATATATATATATATATATATATATATATATATACACCCATTTGCAAAAACGTTGGCCACAGATAGATAGATAGATAGATACTCAAAATCTAATTAGAATTGCATATGTTGTGTAATATGATTGAAATCCCATGCAAATCTAGTCATATGCATTTCTAATTAGACTTCGAGTATCTATCTATCTATCTATCTGCGGCCAACGTTTTTGCAAATGGGTGTATATATATATATATATATATATATATATATATATATATATATATATATATATATATATATATATATATATATATATATATATATATATAAATATATATATATATATATATATATATATATATATATATATATATATATATATATATATATATATATATATATATTTATATAAGGATTAAGAGATAAAACTTCAACGGACATACTTTTAAAAACCATTTATTGAAAAGTTGTTAAAAACTGGCTACCAGACGTTTCGCTATTTACAGCTTCATCAGTGGATTAAAAGATTTTATCACTATCGTCCTCTATTTATACAAAATCGGAAAGACGTTCGATACGAAAGATCATGAAGATTTTTAGAAGTAATGGCTATCCTAAACGATTTTTAACATCGGTTGTAAGACGTATTACAAGAGAGGAACATAATAGCAAGGAAAAGAATACGGATACCATTTATCTGAAATTACCATTTGTCAATGAGCAACTTAAGCGCAGGGCGCTATCAGTGATTCGTAATACCGGAATTAGCAACATCAAAGTCTCGTTTGTTGGTGGTTTGCCATTGGCCAGGGTTTTTGCACCGCCCAGGGAAGGTCTAAATTGTAAGCAGGATTGCGAGACATGTAGGATGGCATTGAAAGAAAATCAGTGTCTTAGGAAAAATGTTGTATATCGGATTTTCTGTGGCCATTGTGATCTTAAGTACATAGGAGAAACGGGTCGTACAGTGGGATCTAGAATAAAGGAACATTTAAAGATGAGCAAACAAACAGTATATTTACATTTAAAATCACATGATGTTAACCCTCAGGAGGGCGTTCATATTACATGGGAAATTATGCATAATAGCGTTAGGCATTATAATGAACGTAAGATAATAGAGGCTATTGAAATTCAAAAATGCTCTCAGCATCTGATGAACGGTTGTATAGGTAGGATTATCAGTATTTAGTTATCAATGGATTTTGTAATTGGCTTCACTTGTATAAATAGAGGACGATAGTGATAAAATCTTTTAATCCACTGATGAAGCTGTAAATAGCGAAACGTCTGGTAGCCAGTTTTTAACAACTTTTCAATAAATGGTTTTTAAAAGTATGTCCGTTGAAGTTTTATCTTTTAATCCTTATATTATTACCGGACATGGAATTTTCATCAAATAGATCATATATATATATATATATATATATATATATTATATATATATATATATATATATATATATATATATGTATATATATATATATATATATATATATAATATATATATATAATATATATATTATATATATATATATATATATATATATATATATATATATATATATATATATTATATATATATATATATATATTGTCACCAACTGGATAAAAAATTAAAAAAAATTCACTATCGTGTCATTCAAGAGTGGTCTTTTAGTGAAATATCTTTCATGTATATCAGATACATCAGTTATACTCAATTGATGTTTGCTCATGCCCATGATTTTTGAAACACATTTTCAGCTGGCTACTCGTTCGGCGGTTTGTTGGCTTACGAAATGGCAAGTGAACTGAAAAGAGATGGTGAAACTGTTGCGATGGTGTTCATGGTGGATACGTTCGCATGGCACCCTAAAGCCCTGACAAACGGCAAAGAATTCATGAGAAAAATCACAGAGTTAACCTTGAAGTCAACGGAAAAATAGATAAAGAAAAATATTAATTTTCCTATATTACTCAACCGGTAGCGTAGTACGGGGGAAATAGTTATTTTTATTCTTGTTTTTCAATTTGTTTCTATGTTTGGCAAAGTAGACTTTGTGTTTCGGAAACTTCCGTCAGATTTTCCGCTTTGAATTAATGTTGAGACTAGAAAAATTTTAAGTAAAATATTTAGCAGAACATCCTAAAATTGTTAACATGGGAAAACTTTGTTAATTAATATTTTTAATAAGTTATAATTTTTGCAAAATTTGACAATTCTGCCGACGATAGTCGATATACAATTTTTCAATCTTTTACAAAAAAAATTTTTCCAATTTTGCCAATTTGGGATGATTTTTTTAATGTTCAACCCGGTGACGGATGGGTTTTTTTGTTTAAAAATTGAGTTTCATACTGGTTTTCTGTATACTTCGAGAATCCAAGCCCTAAATATATTTCTCGATTGGTTTCTTTATTTCAATTAATGAGTGCGTATGTTGTTTACTTAAGAATTAAAAAACGAGTCGCGTGCCTTTATGGTGTAATAATGCACGATGGGGGAATGTTGGGAGAATACGAGAGAAGCTTGTAAAACACGAGGCGTACCGAGTGTTTTACAAGCTTCTCGAGTATTCTTCCAACATTTCCCCGAGTGCATTATTACACCATAAAGGCACGCGACGAGCTTTTTTAATTCTTTTATAATAAAAGAAGAAATTATAGGGCAACAAAAAATTTATTTATATGATCAATAATGGAATTCTCCTTACATGTTATTTAAGATGTTGCTTAGCAACAAAAACTTCAAAAGCCAGAAGCGTGCATTATGGCCTCACAATGCACGCGCAGTAGCCAATCAAATTGCTCATTATATCATACTTATATTACAATGAGAATTCACAATGTTTACTCAGGATGAGTGAGTTTTGAACACTACAAGAAATATTTGTAAACCAATGATTTACCTTGGTCAAAAAAAAATGAATAGATAACCACTTCAATTTTTTGTTTTTTCTCCGTCGTAAATAATTACGCACGATTGGGCTAACAGAAAATGCTCATACATGTTACGTTGTATAAATTCCTTCTCAGACAAGACGACTGCTCGAAAAAATTGCCTTCGTCGAAATGGGTAAAAGTGAACATGACGTCAATGATTATTACGAGGAATTACAAGATCAGGAAAAGGTTATCGCTGTTTTGGAGAGTGAAGCTGCTGAAAAGAATATTGATCTTCGTTTGAAAGACAGAATTGAGACTACTAAGTACGAAGTCAAATCTGCTGCTGAAGCTCATTTAGATTGGCAGCCTTCTAAGGTATATTACATTCACTTTATTGGTATTTTATTCACTAGGAGGAATTGCTCGGCACTTACATGGCAGCGACCGCTCTTCTTGTCTTTTGGCAATAATTATTAAATACTGAAGAGTGTGTACCGAAGGGACCGATGAATTATAATTTTTTTTATTATTTTAAGGTATCCTATGACGGGGTATTGACATTCGTTTGCTGTGACGAGACTAAGTCGTTCTCCCTAAGCAAGCCAGAGATATGGAAAACGTTAGTTGAAAGAATAGATTTCCTTTACGCGCCTGGAAGTCATCTAAAAGTACGAGATGGAATTAGTGGAGAAAATTGTGGATCCATGATAATGACAACAGCAGCATGAGCTATCTTTCAAAATCTCAACACCACAATTTCCTGGCTGTAAGAACAAGACGTCAAGAGAAATTGGTGGAATTTCTAAAGCAAGGAATACAAATCTGGATGCTTTCAAGTAAACAAAATATTACTATAGCGTAACGTGCTTCAGAAGAAATATAGTTGCGAGAGCATCGGCAATCAAGCTGGGGAATCCTATTCTTAATTATAGCCCCATTTTGAAACCATTTTTAAAGAGCCTTTTGTTCTGTCACTTTTAGCGTGACTTCGAGCCTTGGGCTGAAAAATGGTAACTTGATGATAGCTTGACTTGGATTTTTACACAACTTTTACACCCTTAAAATTCAAAAAATTTATGTTAGGAAAAATTTTTAAATGCCGCACATCGTTAATCGTTAATTTATTTGTTGTGTATGTAGGTTTCTCAAAATGGGTGAAAGGCACTCTCCAGTTAAATTCGGAAGAAACAGAGTTTAATTTTGAATATAAATTGTTAGGATTTATACAGTACGAAAATTCTTTGTCAAAGGTAAGCCCCAGATTACAAATAACAACCCTAAATAAATAGACACCTTTTGAGTCAATATAAACTTTTCATCTGAGTGAGAAAAAATATTAGTCTATCTTGAAAATTGTCGATAAAAGTAGAGGTCGGGTTTCGGTTCATTAAAATACAGCTGCAGTTACAAAAAGAACGACATAGTCGAGAGCCGGGTGCCATTGTGTTCATGGGATAGCGCCTCAACCCCCCACCACACGCTGTATAGCTTGAAAATCCCAAGATGTCCCTCTTTTATCCGCAAAGTAACCCTCCTTTGAGGCTTCAATTATGCCCTCTTTGCGGCGTTCATTATTATGTGTAGTAATAATTGGTCAAAGATTTTTTTTAATGCTGTCCTGTTACCCTCATTAGATCAGAACATGAACAAAAGGCAATTTTTAGGTTAATAGAGTATTGCATGCATATTCATATGATTACTTTACCTTTTAAGATTTGACAAACATCATGCCTGGTAGGCATGTTGATGAAATCCGTAAGCGCCATGGCAACAATCCTTTCATTGATTTCCTCACTTGTATGCTGACCAAAAACGGCGGGATTTGGACGTTTCGTTCGTTAGATTTTCAGCGGCTCAAAATGCTGGTAGATGCTTTGGAAGCTCTTTTTGGAATACCGTTCGTGCAGTGACGGGGACTATAAAGGATTACGTTAAATCATTATAATTTCATATATAAGGTTAATAAGCAGTGTATTGTTTACCATTGGCATTTTTATTAAAATAACTCATACTCATGGATTTGTTGCAATGTAGTTTACAAAGTCTAGGAACTTATTAAGAAACTTAATTGTTCTAGGCAAAGTAAGATAAATCTTAGTAAAGCGTAGGACATAAATCCATGTAACCTATATTACAATATTCTATTTTGTGTGCGTGATCTTGCACGGAAAAAAAACACGTAAACGCCTTCGATTAACTTCGTTAGTTTGTTACAAACGGTTGTTGTTGGTTAGTTGGCGTATAAACGCTTCAAATGTTCGCACAAATGATTTTTGAAAACGGTCGTAACTTGAAAGCACCTGTTCCAAAACATGAAAAACCTTATACAGCAGTAAGCATTATAAAGTTTAGAGTTTTATTAAAAACAAATCTCAATGGCAGCTACGTAGGAAGTTGCATTGCATATGTAGAATTACAAAAGTTACAAACGTGATATACATTCAAAACTATTTATATTATTATTATTATTATTATTATTATTATTACTCCGGCGTCAGCGACGGAGTTGAAAATTCGCCCCGGTTTTGTTTTGTTTTTGTTTTTGTTTTTGTTTTTTTTTTATTTTTCGTCGTCGCATGTCTGAAATGGCGCGAAATATTCTAGTATTCAAAATGTGTATGTGACCGTATTTATCTACGTCCCAGTCTTATCTCCCAAGAGTTGTGGTGCACAGCTTTGGCTAATTTTCCAATGCGCGATTCGATTTCGCTCGCATGATACGGCAATTCCTCTAAGAGGAACAAATAAACCGTTCTTTTCATGCTGCTCGATTAAGTTTAGATTGAATCGGGGTAAGAATATATTTAATACATGTAGATTCCGGTCCTATTTTAATAATATCGCTGCTATTAATATATTTAGCCGTTTAAAAAGATGATGTGGTCGTGTATGGGCGTGTTGACCCGCGTGTAGTTTGCACAGGATCGAAGATTTAATATAACTATATAAGCGCGAATTCCAAAGGCAAAGCGTAAGACGAAGCGAATGTATCATGCGGTTTATTTACATTTTTAACAATTGAACTTCTATACTGCGATGTGCTTCTGAATTTCGCGATCGAACATTTAGGTTCGCAGGGCATCTAAATGCGAATATGAACAATACGCGAACTGTATTGTTTATGTTCAGAAGCTCTATATTGAAGACTGGCACGTTAACGAGTTAACGCCAGAGCGGCGTTATTTATCAATCTTTATACACGGGATAAAAACATCAGTGTTTACAGGTATATACAACTGATATAACATGCAACTCTGCTATCCTTGTTTGTCCTGTTTCAGACTGAGAATAAGAACAAATTATCTAGTTATGATAAGTACAAGTAATATGAGAAGCTCCCTAAAAAGTTAAAAATCTATACTAGCTAAAAGTTAAGATTGAAAGTGGTCACAAATAAGTGACCTAAACTCTGTAAATTTTTTTGCCAACCTATTTTCTATTGGGAGACGGTTAGAAATATTTTCTCCAGCAAAGCGAAAGCTTTAAATTGTTTTGCAACTTGAAGTTTTACCACAGGGTGCCCGCTTCAGCGTTTGTTATTAAAATATCGCTGTAAAAACCAATGCTGCAAAAATGACAAGAAACGACTTGCCGTTGAATTTAAAAATATATTCGACGAGAAAAATAACTTTCAGTTGAATTTAAAAAGTAAATTCCAAGGTAAATTTGACAACAGTCTACAAGAATTGCATAAGAAAAAATGAAGGCAACTTTGTTATAAACGTACATGAAGTACTTCAGCGTGGAGCCTTAAGCACTGATGTGTTGGACCGCGGGCGCAACAATTATAGGGAGAGAGAGGAAAATAATAAAGGGATGAAACATCAGAATTTGCTTTGTTTCAATGCCTTTTAAAATACATTAATGAACTACAATTATTAGAACAATTGAGCGAAATTTTTACAGTAGTAATCCTTCAAAGGTCGTATAAGTCAAAACAACGGAAATGTTTCTTTGTACATGTAATTTTGCTGTAAAAATATTCCCCTTATTTTCACGATATGTGTTCCGCAAGTAGCCAGGAAACTACGTCATCATCGGATCATCGCCAACTGTTCGGAATACTACGAGAGCTTGCGAGCATTTAACGAAAATCATAACAAAAAATTTGGCGGGAAAGTTCTTCGATATTACCACTGAGCTATATAATAATTCCTGGAGGACCGGCTCCTGATAAGAAAGCAGTGAACTCAATACAACTGGAACGATAACTCCAGTGATAAAGTCTCTAAAATTCTGCGATTGGCTGAAGCCAAATTGAGGAGTCTCGCCAAGCCTCGAGTGCAATGCTTGCGCGCGGACGAAGGTCGAAGCGTGGGGAATGATGTTCGAACAGTGGTTGTTTATGGCGGTTTTGAAAGTTATTTTTCTGTTAAAATTTACCAGTTTGGAATCTAATTTATCCTTTAATATTTGAAGCAAAACTGAAGTCAAAAACCAAGATAGGGAAAGCCGTTTAGATTCTGTGTTGATGGCTTGATAAAGGCAAAGGCGATAAGAAGAGAAAATTGTTCAAGAAATATGGTTGCTTTGGAATTGTAATAATTTTGTTAACGATATACCGACAATCGTGTTTATTAACAAACAGGTATTTAATTGCATTTTTTTTAACAAATTCTTATGACTTAGCAACTGATATTTAAACAATATTATATTGTAAACTTTATTGATTTCTAAAAAGAATCATCTTCGTTAACTGGTGCCTGACGCTCGGATTTCCATTAACCACCGCATTGTTGTATCGCTTTACGTACGTGAAAAGTCTCAAGGTAAAATACCTTTCTGCCGTTAACTTGACAAAGGATGACCGGTGATTTTCTTCTAATAAAATGTCTTCGGATGCCTGTTCGTGGTCTTGAAAGATTTGACGGCTTGAATCCATTAAAAAATGGTTGCAAACTTTCAGAACCAGTTTTTGGTTTAGCTTGCCTTCTCTCGAAATCTGGAAGCCATCTTTGCAGACGTATACTTTGAAAATTTTTTCTGAAAATTTTATTACTCTGTAAACAGACTCTGATGATATTTGCAGACCACCGTTGTTCACAAATAATGTGAATGCTGATGCAGATGCAACTTCATTATGTGGCATTGCGCAGTAATCATGGTCAGGCGTTGCAGGGTTGAAGTGGGAAAGTAGGCATCTCTTGCATGATTCACACGATAGTTTCGGAAGCAGTTTGCGCACGATGTAACCACCAATGTAAAAAAGGACGTTGGAGAGAAACTCAGATGTACTTGGTAAATCCAAGTGACTGCAAAGTAGATCTTCCTCAGGACTCCATTCAAGTTGCGCTGGGTTTTCTGTTGGTGTTTCTTTTAAAGGTGATTTGTGTTTTCGTGTGTGAAAGAATGGAATGATTGTTGTTGAGGAGTCTGAAAATGTCTGACAATTGGCACTTTTTGAGGCAGTTATAGTGTTCCTCAACAGCATTTTCCTCATTTCATACTTCAGTTGCATAGAATTCGGATTGTTATTCCATCCACCATGAGCTCTTATGCATGAAAAAAGGAGTTCTATGTGATCTTGTGAATACTTGTATGTAAGGAAGTATTTGAAAGGATTTCCACCACTAAACATTTCTGTTGTCATATTACTTGTTTATTTAATTGTGGTGACAAAGCCAATGATAAATGTCTTTCTTTGATGTTTTGACAAAAGCCCATTGGTACTGTCACATGTTCTCAAGCCGAGCAAATATTCTGAGGAATGCTTTAAGATTTCTTCCCATGTATCTCTTGATTGAGCACGCAATGGTTGTTTAAATCCAACTGCAACTGGGGTTCGAGAGTTTACAATGTCAAATAATCTGTCCACTAGTCTTACAAATTTAACAGTCCCAGATGAGTTTTGGAATTCTCCAAGTTTCATTGCTTTATCCAAAAATTCTATTGCGTCAGCCACAGACGAGCTGAGAGTTTGGGCTGCTAGTTGGACGTTCATTTTATGCTTCTCAACAGTAGATGTCTTGATGAAAACTTGTTTGCTAATGTGAAACCTTCCTTTTCTTTGATTTTAATGAGTGATGAAAATAGATTCCATGTAATCATATTGTTTTCAGAATCAACAATAGAGCCAAGGTGGGCTAAGGCATTTCTAGCCAATTTAAGCATGTGGCATGGATCCAGTATGGCATACACAACATAGTTCTCAGATGGGTGTTTAAAACTGGTGATCATGGTCTCATACGATGTTGTAAATACGCATCCAAGTTCACGGAACATGGTGAAGTTAACAGCAGTACCATCTGCTGTTACAGAATAAACACGTAATCCAGCTTGAGCCGCCATTATCAATGCTTCCTGGACTAACTTGGCCTGCATTTTCCCAGTCATCTTGTCAGTTAGAAAATGACCTATAGGACATTTCCAGTGACTTCTAGCTCCTACCAAAACAAATACTAGAGCTTCTGATGCAAATTGGTCTGGCTTCTCAGTAGGTATATGTCCATAGTCTATGAACCCCACATATTTATCATTTTTTGAGTCCCATAAAGTTTGCTTTCTAATTGACATTGCATCAATTATCAGACAACAGTCTCTCTTTTCTTGACTAACCAATGCTTCCTTTTTTAGGGATTCAAATGACTCTTTAAAGAATCCTGGATTACACTCAACAACACTGGACTACTTTCTAATAAGAGATGGCTGAGGTAATGGAACAATTGATCTTACATATTCATATGCCTTTTGGGAGTAATGACGTAGCGTTATTGCAAATTCTTTTACAACATCTGAATATCTCCGTCCGCGAGGATCACAGTTAGTGTTATTCTTTGCATCTCTAAAAATTGCGAGTTGTACCCCATTAAATTTGGCTGAAAGTAATTCAGCATCCTCGTGAGAGAGAAGTAGTTGTTGTTTCAAATCTTCTATGATATCTCCCATGGTCTGCTTTTTGCCATCCGTTCTTCTTAATTGTTGTTGCAAACCTTTTATTTTTCTTTTTAGTTTATCCTACTTAGATTTTCTATCTTCTTCTAAATCCTCTATTGTGTTAGCATGTTTGCAGTTAGTATGATCATGGTTAACAACATCAAGATGTGATACAGTTCTCAAAGCTGCCAGGTTACAAGGTGACACTACCTTTTTTCTTATCTTTTTAGGGATGCCGTAGAGAGGGTTACTTGTTGAATTGAATATAGTTGGCACACCTGTTGGTTTTAATCTGCTGGTTCCATTTCCAGATGGGGGAATGATGTAATCTGATTGTGAAAAGTGGTTGCTGCAGATGCATGTATAATGTGTTGCTTTCCACTTTGGCAAAGTTGTTCACTTCGCATATTACCTTTTCCCATTTTTTCAAGCAATTTTGGATTGCTCAAAGGGGAATCAAAATATATGTATATTTAATTAATTGGTAATATGTGAATGGCATACCTATAAATGCATTGTTTATCATGTTTACTTTATGCTACAGGTTAGCATAATAATTAATTTAATTTACAAAAGTTGAAAACTAATGGCTAGTATAGACTGTATAGTTAAAGCAAATGATTTCTGTATTCATACAATTGCTAAAGTGCACAGATATTTGTGCCTAAATTTTGTCATTAAAAGTCTGTATTTATTTTTAATTGCAAACTTTACCTGTGAAATGCAACCTTTTTTTCATTGCTGCCTGGGTTTTTTCGTTTCTTTTTCACTGATTTTTGCTTACTTTCACAGCATGAAATTACACAAAAAATGGGCATGTTTTTTTTTCATAACCATGTCGAAAAACAGCTATTTTTCACTGCAATTTTAAAATATTATCGTAAATATTTCGCTTTGTTTACACTCTGGATCTCTAAAAAAGGATTGGGTCGAGTCAAATTTAGTATGGTTTTTAATTTTTCGCCAAAAATAACCACAGCAAGACCTTTTCCGTCCGACAGCATCAATTTCCAAGCTTGAAATTTATGTCACATAAAGTTGGTAGTGATTTACGTCCATTTAGGGGGGAAACTTTCGAGGTAACAGTCCCGTATCGTAAATATTGCGTAAGTTTAAACGCGCCGAAAAAAGTTCAACTTTCAACAGAAATAAAATAATCCCTAAAATTCATTTCCTGCCTAGAAAGTGTTTTCTTACTAAAGACCAGGTAAGGTTGAAGCTTTCTAGACTTTATTTAATTTCGATTGTTAGTTTAAGGTATGAGAAATCATGCAACGAAAAGGGGGAGGGATTTCGACCTGTGACGTGCAACGGCGGCCACACTGAGCTATAATATAATTCCTGGAGGACCGGCTCCTAATGTTTTGAAATACAAAAAGTGAAGCAAAAAACATGGCGGATTTTGGCCTTTGCTGACGCCAGATTGACGCCACTGGTTCTTATTTGCAATGGTAGTTACCACTGACCAACCGCGATCCAAAGCATGAAAAAATGCTAGCACCCTCCTGGTTTTCGATAAAAACAGGATTTGGTTTTTACGAAATTTTTTGTTTTTGAACAAAAACATGTATTTTTTTCCTTTTTTGCTGGTTCTTTTCAACTGCAACAAAGAAGCAGCTATTTGCTCTGCTTGTTCCTACCGCAATTTACTCGTTAAAGAGGAAATTTTTGGCGATTTGCACTCAGGTAGAGTTTTAAAAAGGCTTTCGCAATTTTGATGTTTGAACTCTGAACGTCAAGTAAAAAATATAGCTTCGTAGTTCGACGGCTATGACAGATCGGAAAACAGAAATGATATATTTACTAACATTTAATTTGTTTAACTACAACATATTTCTATTAATACTTGTTTATCCATAATATTTTACACTGATTTGAATCCATGTAGTTGTGCCAAAACTCAGGTGTAACCAGATCAATCATCAATGTGTCTATAGCCCATCTTTTGATGAAAAATCATACAAGATATATTAGATCAAAGCATATAAAGGATGCAATAGGAACAAAAATATAATCTGAAGGAGCAAGGTCTGAGAATAACTTGCCTAAATTCACCCACACCTCCAACTGAGGCATCATCATGGCACACTAAATTATCTGTACTAATTTTGTAAACCTTACAGGGTGTATTATAGATACAGTTAATCTCTGACATATCTTTCTTTTTGCAGGGACATAACATAGGGTTTGGTAGATCAAGTGGAGGCATATTATGCAAAATTCTGGAGAACTAAATTGAGACAACCATACTATTATACCCATGAACTACACACATTCTTAAATACAGAAACTGTTTTATTATTTTTACAAATTACAATGTTTTATTAAAAGAAAATAAATATTACAATTGGTAAGGCTTTGTTTATTTCATTTCCAAAGAACCTTTCCAGTCATTGTAGGCTAATCTGGGAGAAGCTGGTAAGCCCCTTTTGCATATAATCAATAATAATTACCATGGCTATCTTAGCCTATAAACATCCCTGGTTCTAATCTTCCTTAATGCAGCCTCTGCATTATCATTTGCAAATATAGAAAAGCATATGACCTGCACAGGGGCCATAATTATTGGTTTTATACCATGGAAAGAGCATGGTCTGTGCAGTCAGACAATTATAGTGCTGACCACTGCATGGTGCTGACTGCTGGAAGCTTTCAATTTAATAGTTCATCCTTATAGGTTTAAGCTAATAAGCTCATCAATATACATGATATATGCTGATATAGTTCAGTACAGAAAAACTATTTCTTCTGGCTAATGAAATCCAGCTAAACAAATAGGCAGGCTACCTTAAGGTAATCTTTTTAGTAGTTGTTCAAACTTCAAACTATACATTTCACTTCTCGTGCTGCCGTCTTTTGGTCAAATATTAAAATATATAAACAACGACATCTATCTAAAGACTGTTAACGAAAAAAAAATGGTGAAATTTTATCTAAAAATGAAATTTATGAATAATATATTTACCTTTAAGTCAACTGCATTTTCGTTTCGGCAAATTTCTTGAAGTTTTATGATTTATCTGTTATTTCTTTCCTGTTTTTGACAGAAGTAACGTGTATACGACTTTGCTATCTTCACAAAAACGTCAAACATATCTGATCAAAAAGTTTTCAGTTCAAAAATATCGACTGACGTTTAAATTTTTTTTGGAAACTATAATAATGAGAACTGAATACTATTTTTAACAAAAACCAGGGAAGAGTGCATATGTAGCGGGCTCAGAATTGAGCCTTAGTCAGTGGTAACTACCATGGCGAATAGGAACCAGTGGCGTCAATCTGGCGTCAGCAAACGCCGAAATCCGCCATGTTTTTTGCTTCACTTTTTGGTCGCGGGCCGGTCCTCCAGGAATTATATTATAGCTCAGTGGGCGGCCATCAGTCTGGCTTCAAGATGGCGGCGGAGTTATCGTTCCAGTTGTATTGAGTTCACTACACTGAGCTATAATATAATTCCTGGAGGACCGGCTCCACTCAGCTATATAATAATTCCTGGAGGACCGGCTCGTGATTTTTCAGTAACTTCGCCGCCATCTTTTTGAAGCCACCAACATGGCGGATTTCGCCCTTCTGCGCAACCGCATAAGCTTTGCTGACGCCACTTGGTTCCTTTTGACCATGGTATTTACCACTGACCAGGCTCAATTCTGAGCCCGCTACAGCAATATTCTCCCCCCTGGTTTTTGTAAATAACAATTCTCCCGCCTGGTTTTTATATTTTTTTTGCCGTGAAATCTTTTTTGTTTTTGAAATGTTTTTCGGTTGTTTTTTTTATATTTTTCGCACTGACATACAATAAAGTTTTATTTTAAGATGAATACAAGTCATACACGCTATTTTTTAGCCAGTGCGGAAACAAATATATTAAAATATGGAAAAATGTGGACAAACTAAAGATTTTAATACTGACACGAACTGACAGGTTTATTTTATTTTCGTAATAATATTTTTGTTATTTATACATTCCAATATGAGAGTTTACAAATGTTTGAATGTTTTGGCACTATCCTCGCATATTTTGAAGACAACTAGGAATTTATGGGCAACAATTTGACTTTTCTAAACCCTGAACTGATGAATTGCAGGAAGTATGTAATCAGTATTCAGTATGTGATGTTGTCTTCAAGACTTTATATCTATGCACAATACAAAATCCAAAGAAACAGAGGCCAAAGCTCAGGCAAAATGCTGGGCAGCTGACTAATACTTAGTGCAGCAATATAGTTTCAACCAAGAATCATATTTGCATAATATACTTTTCATTCAAGTCATCAACTTGTACCCTAATAAACCTTAATAGGCTTTAAAAGTTTTCAGCATTCTCTAATTGCATCCCTGGACCCTTGGTCATAGTAAAGAATAACATTTATCCCTCCATAGGCTCCACTGATTAGCCTAATGAATATAACCCCTTTGGAGGTTGATACCATAAACAGAAAATTACAAAAGTTGCTGCAGATTAAAGACACACTGCTCAGGCAATGCATGTTTATATTTATTTCATTAATTAATAAATATGACAAATGGTATATGAAAACACCAGCCAACAACAAAATCAGATAACATGGAAATGAAGAATAACAATGCACAGTCATAAAATGCATGAACTTTATCCTGAAAATAAAAATGGAGATATGATCAAGATTAATTTATTCACAAGGTACAAGAAGCTAAAAAATAAATTAAGAGCTGTGACAATTGATCATTTCACTTTGGATTTGACAAGGTAAACAAGATAATATATTAACTAGGCTTTAACAGGGCTCACTATCAGAGGTTGGAATTTTACACTGTTTACAGCAACTTATTATTTTGTATCAGCACCCTCAGATCATGTTAATTGATGTTGGGTGGGATCAATAGAAGAGTGACTATAGTAGACTCACTGGGGGAATGGTTTACCTATTAACATTGATGTTTGCTATCATGAAAACAACTTAGACCAAACTCAAAAGATTGACACTGCCAGGAATTTTAACTTTCCCCCGACACAAGTTAAGAAAATATGATAAAATTTGGGTATATAACATTGCATTGACAGCACTGTAATTTACCAAAGGCTGTTTGTACGACACGTTTTGATGGATTTATTGTCTCAGAGGCTTTGGTAATCAGTTTATACTATAGTCCAAACTCGAAGGCCAAAAACGAAATTGTTTATAGTAAAAAAAGTTGAAAAACGGCTTACCTGGATTTTATAATATAAGGGCAAAATGAGAAAATTCACTCTACCGATAAGTGAATTAAGCCATTCACAACGTCAGACGCAGAGCACGAAGCTACGTGTCCTTTCCATTTGTTGAACAGGGAAAAAGAGAAACGCTTTTATCCATTTTATATGAAAAACAAAGAAATATATACGGAAAGCTGAAAATATTTTCGTAAAAATCGGGAGGGTGATGGACACAGTTTTTCACCTTTTATCGCGGTATGTCAGTGGTAACTACCATGAGCAAAAGGAACCAAGTGGCGTCAGCAAAGCTCAAAATCCGCCATCTTAGTGGCTTCACTTTTTTGACAGGAGCCGGTCCTCCAGGAATTATTATATAGCTCAGTGACCGGCTCCTAATGTTTTGAACACTGAGCTATATAATAATTCCTGGAGGACCGGTTCGTCATTTTTCGGTAACTTCGCCGCCATCTTTTTGCACAAAAAACATGGCGGATTTTGCCTTCTGCGCAGTGCGCAGAAGTTTTGCTGACGCCATATGGTCCCCTTTGCCCAGGGTAATTACCACTGACCAGGCTCAAATCTGAGCCCGCTACAAGAGATGCTCCCCCCTGGTTTATCTAAACAACAGTATTTCCCCCCTGTTTTTTTTATGAATATCTTTTTTGCCGTGAAACATGCTGGAAACCTGGTTGTTTTGTATTTTTCGATTTATTTTTGTGCTACAAAGCGTTGCAATAAGGCGTTTATTTCAGTTCTATACAATCGTGGACGCTGTTTTGCCAATGCCAGAGAAAATTAATATTAAAACGTAAAAAAAATTGTGGACGAAGGATTTTTATGTACAATTAGCTGACAGGTTATTTTATTTATTTTAATATTCATTTTCATTATTCATACATTCCTGTATAAAATTTTTGAAAATACTTTAATATTTTTCGAGTCTTGTCAGAAATTTGGATTATCTTTCGGATATCAATCGGCGACTAAAGGTTAACGGCAGAAAATATGTTGTTATGCGATGTTTTCCTTCGAACATCATGCTTATGCATATCAGCCCATAACTCAAGGAAAAAAGGCCAAACCTCATGCAAGATGCTGGGCGGCTGATTATATAGTAATAGTACTTCAAAACATATTTGCATAGGATATTTTCATTCAGGTCATTATAGCTAGCCAGTTACCCCTATCTTACTGTATCCCAAGACCCAAGTAATTAATGGACTTTCAAATGATTCCCTGCTTGACTCAAGGATTTGATATGGAATCATATTCCAGATAATGCAAGGAAAGGCTATGGTAAATAAAAAATTATTATGGTACCAAGAAGATTGTGGTACTAGTTGTGCTATTAAACAAATGTCTCATGAATTCATGATAATGCAACTGAGCCTATTCATTCCTCTATTAGTCTTTAATCTAATAACTTTCAATTCCTGATTAGCCCCATGATAATATTCCTTTGAATGGTGGGGATGGTAAAACTGTCCAGAAAATTATAAAAGTTGCTGCAAATTGAAAACAAACTCAGTCAATGCATGTCTGTATAAATTTATTTTCCATTTAAATAACCATCTTAACTATAAATAACAAAGTCAACATTGTAAAATTAACAGTTAAATGTTCCAGTAATTTGCAAAAAAGCCATCCCCAAATTTAATAGCATCTTCATCCTAAAAAAGAGAGATCAGACCAAGTTTAACTGTACTCTATAGAGTACACCCAGAGGGCAGAGCCAGAGGGGAGTAGAAACCATTATATTGCAAATTAACAATCAAGCTTGTAGCTTGATCAACAAGGTGCAAGATGCCAAGAAGTCTATTAAGCCATGATTATTGACTTTGCATTTGACAAGGTAGACAAGATAACATACTAGACTTTTAACAACCACTGTTGAAATCTGACAGAAAAATATTTTGTATCAGCACTCACACAGTCATCATGTTTAATGTTTTAAATTAATCAAAAATAGACTAGAAAGGATCAATAGAGAGACTAGTAGATTCACTGGGAGGATTGAATATTGATTCATCTTAATTGTTTGACTGAAAATACTCATGAATTGGCATTAAATATGAGTGAAAGCTCCAGTGCAAATCCCATAAGAGTTCTATTCAAAAGCCAAAACATAGATTAAAAACTCAAAAGATCAGTTATTGATCCTTTTTCATAAAATATAGTTTTTCATAGCGTAACTAAGTCATGTACCATTGATCAAAAAGGCTGCACTCTGCAGCATATTTGCCGTTTTTAACATTAATTTCAAAAGAAATAACTGCAACAGACGCTTTGGTAGTTGTCTATACCAAAGGCGAAAAACGAATATATTATGAAAACCGGCTTACCTGAGGTAAAAATTAATACCCCGATAGGTGAATTAGGCCATTCACAGCATCATATGTAGAGCAAGAAATCACTTCTCCATTTAACTTGTTGAACAGTGAAAAAGAGTCTTTTTAGATGAAATGCGGAGAAAATATATGCCGAAAACAATACCGAAAACCGAAAATATTTTCATAAAAATCGGGAGGGTGATGGACACGTTTTTGACTTTGTATCGCGGTATGTCAGTGGTAATTACCATGGGCAAAGGGGACCATGTGGCGTCAGCAAAGCTGAAAATCCGCCATTTTTTTTGGTACGCTTTTTTGTGGCGAGCCGGTCCTCCAGGAATTATTATATAGCTCAGTGGTTTTGAAATACAAAAAGTGAAGCAAAAAACATGGCGGATTTTGGCCTTTGCTGACGCCAGATTGACGCCACTGGTTCTTATCAGTGAACTCTAATAAGACTGGAACGATAACTTGGCCGCCATCTTTGAAGCCAGCACTGATGGCCGCCATGAAGGCCAAGCTACAAAAATATGACAAATTTTTAAACGCATTTCCCTCCTCTTGATTTTGTGTTTTTGAGCCAGCTAAAAGCTAAAAATCATCGCGATAGATTGAAGTTTTATGTATCAGAACTCTCCAGAAGGCCCAGTAAGGATTTAAAGGATATTTTGGGCGCTAAAAATGAGAAACAGCTTCGGCAAAAACTTTGTCGCGAAATAACTTCCTTCCAGGACTGGTACCTATAAAGTTTCGACAAGAATAAGAATGAAACTATGGAGCACTTTAACATATTTGTCATTGAGTACATAAAATGCAAAAAAAACCTGCTAAAAAAGCAATTTTGCGTGTTTTTTTGCTTGAAAACTTTGTTTTCATATAAATAACCCCGTCCCAGGCCTTTTCGGGTCTTCTGACGCGATTAATTCAACCACAATTTTGACAGATTTTTTGTCCTTTTTGGTCTATATGGAGAAAATTATTAAAGATTATTTGAAAAATGTAATAAAAAAACACAGCAATGCCCTTTAACTGTGTGATTTCCAGTTGCAATAACCGGCAAAAAACAAAATATTTACGAAGGAAATAAGAAATTTATGTAATGTGATTTTATAAATAGACTACTAAGGCAAGGTGTACCCCCAAGGGGATACGCCTTGCCGACGATAATTAAAAATCTTATATTATGGGCTTTGCGTCCAATCTAAAAGACCGACAGGTAATGGATGGCACGCAATATGGGAAAGATGGTGAATGGCCAGCAGCAAATCGAAAACTAACAAAGACCGAATACCCAAACCACAAACAGTCAGTTTAAGCGTGACATCGCAAAAGACAGAGCTCCTTTAAAGTTGAAAGGTATTTACAGAAGTGTTATATTTGTTTTTCTATATATATATTTATATATTAATATAGCATATACATATAGTAGCTACGAATACACAATGGTACCCCCAAAAGTTTTGGTCCTGGGACACTCATTTGTTCGTCGCCTACAGTGCGACCTGAAACGTAAGCGGGATATTCGCATGTGCCCGACCTTTAAACTCAAGGGCACAGCGAGAGTTTATCTACACGGTATAGGGGGTAGAACAGTGGAGAAGATCCGCAAATTTGATTTAGGGTTAGTTTCTCGGTGTGCCCCAGATATTGTTATTCTGGAGATAGGCACGAACGATTTGTCCGCTTTAAGGCCCGAAACAGTCGGTTCACGCATTGACGACTTGGTTGCTTTAATGCTAGATCAATATCGCGTAAAATTGGTATGCGTATGCCTGATTTCCCCGCGAACGAACAACCCTCTTTTTGAAAAGCAGCGTTTAATGCTAAATAATTACCTACAGGTAGTTTTAGAGAAGGTCCCGAGAGTGTTTTTATGGACACACCATGGCTTCATACGACCTTCCGTGACGCCATTTCTACCTGACGGGGTACATTTTAATAGATTCGGGCAATATAAATTATACCGAAGTTATCGGGGAGCAATTCTTCAAGCAATTAAAATGTTATAAAATTCTTTCTCTATATGACTATATATATATATAACAAGCTGCATGTCGTACGTTACATTTACTTTTCTATAACCTTGAAATTTGACAAACTTTACTCGTGATTACTTCTTATGAAGCGCCTTAGCGCCTTTATCTATTCTATCTTTATCTCTTATCTATATGAGAGTTCTCACACTGTTTGTGATTTTTGTTGGCCATATGATGAACGGTGCGGCGATCTTCGGATCTGCCATGTTCATCCTGCTGACGTTTGACTTTGTCTTTATCTCTCATCTATATGAGAGTTCTCACATGTTTTGTGAGTTTTTTGTTGGCCATAGGGTGAATGGTGCGGCGATCTTCGGATCTGCCATGTTCATCCTGCTGACGTTTTATAATCATTCTTTCACACATTCCAACTTTCAATTACGACAAAATTAATAACGAACGAATCCTCACTATTGAATGTTCACCTTACGGGGGATAGTTTTATTTCTCGCACAACGACAAAAATTTGGGTACGGTTGCTTTACTATCTTTAACTCATCACGCCATAAGTATCTATTTCTGCTTTTAAAGTTTTATTTTTTAGAATGCCACCCGTGCGTCGTTCTAAGCGGGTCGCCGCTCCATCAGCCGTTTTGCGAGAGTCTGTTCAGAACCAACCAACAACATCTCGCCGAACTCGAAGTTCGCCCAATGCTGTATCTGTTGGTGCCACCCCGTCAACGTCAACTGTGCCCGTGAGTGATGTGGCTTTGCCCTCTTTTTCGAGTGAGCTTATCTCAACACTGGTGTCTTCGGTTACCGAGGCAGTCACGCAAAAGTTAGCTGGCTTCTTACCAACCTCTGCGTCTTCAACATCCACAATGGCGTCTGCCCCAACAGATTCTACCTCTGGAATCGAAATCTCAAACCAGGGTCCCAATGCAGATTCTCTGGTCAACGACGCGCTCACGTCCATACAAGAAAACCTTACAGGTCAGACCACTCCTTTTTCTCTTCCATGTTCAAGTGCTTCGGGTCCACGGGAATCGTTCCACTCTGCCGCTTTGCCTCTTGATGCGCGGATTCCGGATAAAATAAAGTTTAAAATATGGAATGAGGAGTTTGTCGATATAAGTACTTTGTCAGGTGGCCCAGACGCGGCCGCTAAATACGAGATTAGTGTACGGACCTCTGACAACGGTCAACCTGCTTCTTTCTTCTTGAGCCGGCTGCGAAATCCAAAAGGGTCAAAACTATTAGCGATTGGCTTCGTTCGTTTCATATTTTTGTTTCCATTTATACACAACGGTACCCTCATGAGTCCCCCGCGCTCATGAAATATTGTCAAATCATCCAGGATTTGGCCAATAGGGGTCATAATTGGTTTTACTACGATGAGAATTTTCGATTTTTGCGCCAAACACAGGCCACGCGCGTTCCCTGGGCGACCGTTCACTGGGAGTTATGGTTGAAATCTCAATATCCCACTACGTCTAAGCCGAACCCGCAAGGCAACAATTATACGCGCCACCCTTCAAAGGTGTCTGTTCCTCGGGGATATTGTTTTAAGTTTCATCGCGGAACGTTTTGTGCCGGTTGTGATTTCAAGCACATTTGTTTTAAATGCAACGGATCGCACCGTGCCGTGAATTGTAATTTTCGTGCCAACAACAGACCATCTCCCACTGATCGATCGCCTAAGCCTATTTCAACAAAGTCCGTTGCCAACACCCGTAAAACTTCATAATTTACAAATATTGTTAGAAGGTTATCATCCAAGTATTGTTGATACACTAATTTCCGGATTTACTTCGGGTTTTCGCATTCATTTCTCTGGCGCAGAACAGTCGTTTGAAGCAAAAAATTTACGGTCTGCTCTTGACAACCCAGAAGCGGTTGACCAAAAATTAACGAAAGAGTTAGAGGCATCTCGCCTTGCTGGGCCATTTAATTCTCCGACCTTTCCAAATTTTCGGGTTTCGCCTTTGGGCCTGGTTCCTAAAAAACAACCGGGTGATTTTCGCATGATTCATCATTTATCGTTTCCAAAGGGAGCATTGGTTAACGATGGTATACCCGATTTCGAAACATCTGTGCGGTACGCTACCGTTGACGACGCTATTCAACTTATTAAAAAAGCGGGCCGGGGTTGTTTCCTGGCAAAAACAGATATAAAAAATGCTTTTCGAATCATTCCTATCAGCCCAGCGGATTATCACCTCTTAGGCATAAAATGGCGGAGTTTGTATTATTACGACCGGGCAATGCCAATGGGTTGCTCCAGTTCGTGTCGCACTTTTGAGATTTTTAGTACGGCTATCGAATGGATCGCTAGGGAAAGGCTTAACATCGGCAAACTCCTTCATTTGCTCGACGACTTCCTGTTTGTTGCAACGGATTATTGATTCTGCTTGTAAAACAAACTTACAATTATTCATTGCTCTTTGTGATTTCATTGGCGTGCCTATAGCACCGGAAAAAACCATGGGTCCCTCAACAACCTTAACGTTCGCTGGGATTGAATTAGATACAATACAATTCCAGGCCCGATTGCCGATTGATAAAATCGAGAAATGTGTTCAATCTATAGCACGCTTTTTAATTCGTAAAAAGGTTACACTCAAAGAACTTCAGTCCTTAATTGGATTACTTAATTTCGCATGTTCCGTCATTATGCCAGGTCGCGCATTCCTGCGACGCTTAATTGATCTAACGCGTGGCATTTCACACCCTCATTTCTTTATTCGCTTAACGCAAAGTGTGAAACATGATCTTCGTGTCTGGCAAACGTTTCTGTCGAATTTCAACGGCAAATCATTCTTTTTGCACAACCATTGGCGTAATAACTCCCATTTGAATTTATATACTGACGCTTCGGGTAGTATTGGTTTTGGGGCCCTGTTTGGTTGCGACTGGTGCTATGGCGCATGGCCAATTGACTGGCGGAGTTACAATATTGCCGTTCTAGAGCTATATCCGATTGTCCTCAGCCTGTGTTTATGGGGATCAAAAATGCGCAATCATTGTATCTTGTTTCTCACGGATAATGAAGCTTTGGTGTCTGTTATTAATAAGCAAACATCAAAGGATTCTTATATCATGACACTCGTTCGCCGGATGGTTTTGGTTTGTTTAGAAAACAATATTTTATTCAAAGCAAAGCATATACCAGGTAAACAAAATGTCCTAGCTGATTGTTTGTCTCGTTTACAGCTCCAAAAATTTTCACAATTGGCGCCGGCCGACATGCATCGAGCTCCAACGCCTATTCCCTTTCACCTGCTGCCGGAAAATTGGCGACTATAGTTTCTCAATTAGCTCAAAGTAGCTTGCAACCTTCTTCAGTGCCGACTTATAAGCGGGCATGGGCACTTTTTGCGCAATTTCATGTGGCAATTTTTAATGAGGGATCGTTCACTTTGCCTTTGTCGCCCTCAGTCGTCGCGTTATTCATAGCGTACTTATTTGACCTCAAGTACGCCTCTTCAACAGTTAATACTTATGTATCTGCACTGGGTTATACTCATCGCATGTCCGATCTACCGGATCCAACGAGAGTTTTCTACGTAACGCAAATATTAAAGGGGTATGGTAAGAAAGGCTTCCGCTTAGATAGTAGGTTGCCTATAACTTTACCAATTCTCAATCGTCTTATTGAGGCTGCGCCTCATATTGCTGGGTCACCGTACCAAATATGTCAATTCCGGGCAATGTGCTCTTTAGCATTTTTCGCGTTCCTGAGAATTGGAGAAATAACTAAGAAGTCAAATAGCCAACCCCTTCAATTGCGACAACTCTCCAAACTATCTTCCGATGATGGCCGGGTTGCAGGCATAAGGTTGACTTTCGAGGATTTCAAGCACAATTATAACAGTAGACCTTTTAGTTTGGAAATTCACAGGCAAACGGCATGCTGTCCTGTTCGCTTATTGGAGGAGTACATGATTTTGCGAGGCGCCCAGCCCGGAGCTATTTTTCTATCACAACTGGGCATTCCAGTCTCATGTGACGAGTTTGCCAATCTTCTTAAAAAGGCTTTCCGCTTCTGTGGACTCGATACTTCCAAATATAAGTCTCATTCATTTCGAATAGGCGCCGCCTCCCACGCAGCTGAACACGGGCACTCGGATGCCCAAATTCGAACTATGGGGCGTTGGAAATCGAACGCATTCCTCAAATATATACGTTTTTCTTCCCTATCAACATAGTTTGGATGAATTTTCGAGCGGAAAACCTGCGGGGAGTTTTCTGCTCGAATTGCGCGGCTATTTTATTTCTTCCTCAGCTTGCACATGGTCAGCAAGGGCGATCGTTTGCATTCTGGGGGAGGAAATAAAGTGCTTATAACAGGGTGATGGAGAAGCTTCTTCTTGGCGCGGTAATGTTGTGACTCTGCTAAACTAATATCAGTTAAGTGTAGATTATCAGCAAGGGCGATAATCTATGCCTTTTCACGGGCTTTGTAAGTGCCTTTTTGCCCATGTTCGTTTATCAGGTCGCGCAGACCGCTGATCCTGTATTATTGTATTACGAAACTTTCTGCATGCATCCCTTTCCTTGGGGTAGGGTCAACTTGCTTCGCTTCGTTGTTTTGGCGGTAATTTGCCTCCACCCTTTTCTGAGCGTAATATTTGGAATTTTAATGCAATGTATTAATAAATATCGTTTTGTTTAACAGAAATAAAGCGGCTAGAAGAACCATTACTCCTAGCCAAAATTATCCCAAAACGGCGTAAAATTTAATGTGTCTTTATTATGCTCAGAAAACTGAGCTGCGGAAAGGGTATGCAAAATTCATGGCTGGCAATATATCTATATGCGTAAATAAATCACATTACATAAAACAAAATATTTACGAAGGAAATAAGAAATTTATGTAATGTGATTTTATAAATAGACTACTAAGGCAAGGTGTACCCCCAAGGGGATACGCCTTGCCGACGATAATTAAAAATCTTATATTATGGGCTTTGCGTCCAATCTAAAAGACCGACAGGTAATGGATGGCACGCAATATGGGAAAGGTGGTGAATGGCCAGCAGCAAATCGAAAACTAACAAAGACCGAATACCCAAACCACAAACAGTCAGTTTAAGCGTGACATCGCAAAAGACAGAGCTCCTTTAAAGTTGAACCCACCTCCTCCCCAAAGCCTCCGCTAAAAATTATGTACATTGGACGATTTACCGTAACTGATATATATAGAGGAAGGAACGTTATATCTTAATTAGTGATGGTCGTAGGCCGTATCTACAGGTGCTGGCGGTAATTTGCCTCCACCCTTTTCTGAGCGTAAATATTTGGAATTTTAATGCAATGTATTAATAAATATCGTTTTGTTTAACAGAAATAAAGCGGCTAGGAGAACCATTACTCCTAGCCAAAATTATCCCAAAACGGCGTAAAATTTAATGTGTCTTTATTATGCTCAGAAGACTGAGCTGCGGAAAGGGTATGCAAAATTCATGGCTGGCAATATATCTATATGCGTAAATAAATCACATTACATAAAAATAAGAAGGATGTAATAGAAAACAAGGAAAACAGATCATTTGCTTTGCACAGGTGAGTGATTTAATTTGCAACTTAGCACATATTACAAATAAACACCTCTAGACACAATTTAAACACATTAGGAAGACAAGTTTCCAACAAATAATTATTTAAATGTCAAACTTTATCAAAATTTTAACTTCAAGATCCAATTATCCACCTAATCAGGTTTCCTCTGAACAACCAATCACTCCTCGAAACCTGGGAAAACAGTGTTCGTGAGCAAAACAAATGCCCACTATGGACGGCAACAAAATCCAGTCGGATTTGCAGTAACCATTTCCGTTCATCCGATTTCATCATCCAACCATCAGACAATGGTGCTTGCAGAATAAAGCATCCATGCGAGTCCATGGAGAGTCCATGGAGAGTCCATGCGATCTGCAACCATTAACAACTATGTCGAATGAAGAAAAAATATCACATGACCATAATTATTGTAAGTCTGTCAATGATATTGATGAAACAATCCATACAATTCCTGAAAGGCCAGACCTAGAAAAAAAATTGAAGAGAAAAATTAGATCTTTGCAGCAACAATTAAGAAGAAAAAAATCAAGGCAACAGACATTATCAGATATAATAAATGTGCTAGAACAAAAGCTTTTTCTATCACAAGAAGATGCTAATTTCTTTCATGGTCAGTTTGATTCCCTACAACTATCACTATTCAGAGACACAAGAAATAATGTGGAAAGGGCCCCATGTGGAAGACGGTACTCTGACCTCGTAAAAGAATTTGCAACCACACTGAACTTTTATTCAGCAAAGGCCTATCAATATG